CTGGGCGGCGGGCGGCGCGGACAAGTTCTTCTGGCCCCCGGAGCTGCTGGAGCGCACGAGCTTGACGATGCAGCCCGCCCTGTCGCCGTGCTCGCGGCTGTCCTCGGGGCTGTGGTAGGGCGGCGCCGGCTCCGGCTCCTTCGCCCCAAAGTATGCCTCGGTCTCGGCCGGGGGGATGCCCGCGCGCTGCACGTAGATGCCCACCAGGAAGTCCAGCTTCTTCTCCATCGACAGGACCTGCAGGAGGGGCCGCCGGGCGCCAAGCTGCTGGGCGGCTGCCCCTAGATTGGGGGTGCGGGGGGTCCGGGCTGCTCCCGGGGGTGTGGGGTGGCAGTGCACAGAGCAGCCGCAGCAGAACGCCCCACCAGCCCCTGGGTTCCGGCTCGGGTCGCCCCACCCCATCCAGCACGATGACCCCAGCCCCTTTTCTGGGGGGCTTCCCGCCTGGTCCGAGGACACCGTCCAGGGGACCGTGGGGAAGTCAGGCGGAGGACAACGGGGACGGCCCCCTCGTCCTCGGGAGCTGACGGTGCACCCCCGGCCCGGGCAGCACATAAACCCTGGTGCCGCGGTCAGGGCTGGCCCAGCCTCGGGAGGGCGTGGACGGCGAACTCCGGCAGCAGCGCGGACACCCACCTGCTTCTCCACCTTCCCCAGCCGCCCCATCATGCTGGGGTCCTCGGGCAGCTCCGGCTCCGTGGGGCCCTTGGTGCGGTCCTTGTCCGTGATGGCTGGGCCACGCCCCACTATCTGGTCCACTCTGCCGGCAAGAGACCCGCCCCGGCGTGAGGACGGGTGCGGCCAGGCCGAGGCCCGCTCCTGGGCCAGGCCACAGCCCCAGATCCAGACTCCTGGCGGGCCCAGAGCCAACTGGGGGGCGGTGGGGTGCCAGCCCAGGTGGACGCCGGGCGCCTGGTTCTGGCCTGCCCTGACCTCTGGGCCGAGCCTTGTCCATCCCGCCCAGCGGCCCCAGCACATTGAGGAGGAGTAAAGTGGAGGGATCTGGGGCCAGTTCCCCGCCCCCAGCTTTGCTCCCACGGAATGTGCCGTTGGGCCCGGGGTCCGGCGGGTCCAGCAGTCAGGCGTCCGCAGCAGGAACAGCAGAAGCGCGGGCGAGGGCGCTGCATGCGCAGGGCAGGGGAGGCGCCACTGGGGGGCGCCACTGGGACGCGCTAGGGGGCCGG